ACAAAGTAAAGACAAAAAAACATGCAAACAGCTGGAAACTAAATAACTCATTACTTATGAAGAATGGATCACGATGCAATAAAAGAGGAAATTAAAAAAGTTCCTAGAAGTCAATGAAAATGAAAACACAACCTACCGGAACCTATGGGACACAGCTAAGGCAGTCTTGAGAGGAAAGTTTATAGCCATGAGTGCATATATAAAAAAGATTGAAAGATCCCAAATCAATGACCTAATGATACATCTCAAACTCCTAGAAAAACAAGAACAAGCAAATCCCAAAACAAATAGAAGGAGAGAAATAATAAAAATAAGAGCTGAAATCAACGAAATAAAACCAAAAAAACCATACAAAGAAATTAATGAAACAAAAAAGTTGGTTCTTTGAAAAAATAAACAAGATCGATAGACCCCTGGCAAACCTGACTAAAATGAGAGAGAAAAAACCCAAATTAGTAGAATCAGGAATGCAAAAGGGAGATAACAACAAACACCATGGAATCCAGGAAATCATCAGAGACTACTTTGAGAAACCTATATTCAAATAAATTTGAAAATCTAAAAGAAATGGACAGATTTCTAGATACATATGATCATCCAAAACTGAACTAAGAGGAAATTAATCACCTGAATAGACCTATAACACAAAATGAAATTGAAGCAGCAATCAAGAGTCTCCCCAAAAAGAAAAGTCCAGGACCTGATGGATTCTCTGCTGAATTCTATCAGACCTTTAAAGAAGAACTGATACCAACCCTCCTTAAACTGTTCCATGAAATAGAAAGGGAAGGAAAACTGCCAAACACATTTTATGAAGCCAGTATTACACTTATCCCAAAACCAGGCAAAGACACCTCCAAAAAGGAGAACTATAGGCCAATCTCCTTAATGAACATTGATGCAAAAATCCTCAACAAAATAATGGCAAACCGAATTCAGCAACACATCAAAAAGATTATTCACCACGACCAGTAGGCTTCATCCCAGGATGCAGGGGTGGTTCAACATACGAAAATCAATAAACGTAATAAACCACATTAACAGAAGCAAAGACAAAAAACCACTTGTCATCTCAATAGACGCAGAAAAAGCCTTTGATAAGATCCAACATCATTTCATGATAAAAGCTCTAAGAAAACTAGGAATAGAAGGAAAGTTCCTCAACATTATAAAAGCTATATATGACAAACCTACAGCCAGCATTATACTTAATGGAGAAAACTAAAACCATTCCCTCTAAAATCAGGAACCAGACAAGGATGCCCACTATCTCCACTCCTATTGCAAAAATCCTCAACAAAATAATGGCAAACCCGAATTCAGCAACACATCAAACAAAATATCCACCACGACCAGGTAGGCTTCATTCCCAGGCATGCAGGGGGGTTCAACAATCACGAAAAACAATAAACGTAATAAACCATCATAACAGAACAAAACACAACCACTTTGATCATCTCAATAGTACGGCCAGAAGAATAGCGCTTTGATTAGAGATGTGCCAACCATTGTCATTTTCATGATAAAGGATGCCTCTAGAGGAAAGGACTGAGGAAATTAGAAGAAAGTTCCTCTATACATTATAAAAGCTATATATGACAAACCTTCTACAGCCAGCATTATAACTTATATGAGAAAAATTAAAAAAATCCGTTCCCTCTTAAAAATCAGGAACCAGACAAGTGCCCTTCATAATCTCCCACTCACCTATTCAACATAAGTACTGGAATCCTAGCCAGAAGCAATTAGGCAAGAAAGGAATTTAAACGGAATACAAAAATGTAAAAGAAACTGTCAAAATATCCCTATTTGCAGATGACATGATCCTATACCTTAAAGACCCAAAAAACGTCTACTCAAAGCTTCTAGACATCATCACAATAGCTTATAGCAAGGTAGCAGATATAAAATCAACATAGAAAAATCATTAGCATTCTATACACTAACAATGAGCAAACTGAAGAAAAATGTATGAAAACAATTCCATTACAATAGCCTCAAAAAAATCAAATACCTAGGTGTAAACCTAACAAAATATGGAAAGACCTCTACAAGGAAAAACTAACACTTCTGAAGAAAGAGATGGAAGACTATAGAAAGTGGAGAGATCTCCCATGCTCATGGATTGGTAGAAATCAACATAGTAAAAATGTCATACTCCCCAAAATAATCTACATGTTTAATGCAATTCCATCAAAATCCAATGACATTCATTTTAAAGAGATTGAAAAAATCTACTGTGAAATTTATATGGAAACACAAGACCACGAATAGCCAAGGCAATACTCAGTCAAAAGAACAATGCTGGAGTATCACAATACCTGACTTCAAAACTATATACAAAGCAATAAACAATAAAAACAGCATGTACTGGCACAAAAACAGACATGAAGACCAGTGGAACAGAATAGAGGACCAGATATGAAGCCACACAACTATAACCAACTTGTCTTTGACAAAGGAGCTAAAAATATACGATGGAGAAAAGCAGCCTCTCAACAAAAACTGCTGGGAAAACTGGTTAGCAGTCTGCAAAAAAACTGAAACTAGATCCATGTATATCACCCTATACCAAATTAACTCAAAATGGATCAAGGATCTTAATATCAGACCCCAAACTCTAAAGTTGATACAGAAAAGTAGGAAATACTCTGGAGTTAGTAGGTATAGGTAAGAACTTTCTCAATGAAACCCCAGCAGCACAGCAAACTAAGAGATAGCATAGATAAATGGACTCATAAACTAAAAAGCTTCTGTTCATCAAAAGAAATGGTCTCTAAACTGAAAGAACACCCACAAGTGGGAGAAAATATTTGCCACTATACATCAGACAAAGGACTGATAACCAGAATATATAGGGAACTTAAAAAAACTAAATTCTCCCAAAACTAATGAACCAATAAAGAAATGGGCAAGTGAACTAAACAGAACTTTCTCAAAAGAAGAAATTCAAATGGCCAAAAAACACATGAAAAAATGCTCACCATCTCTAGCAATAAAGGAAATGCAAATTAAAACCACACTAAGATTCCACCTCACCCTGTTAGAATAGCCATCATCAGCAACACCACCAACAACAGGTGTTGGCGAGGATGTGGGGAAAAAGGAACCCTTACACTGTTGGTGGAATGTAACTAGTACAACCACTCTGGAAAAAAATTGGAGGCTACTTAAAAAGCTGACATGATCTACCATTTGATCCAGCAATACCACTCTTGGGATATACCCAAAAGACTGTTACTCCAGAGGCACCTGCACCCATGTTTATTGCGGCACTATTCACAATAGCCAAGTTATGGAAACAGCCAAGATGCCCCACCACTGACGAATGGATTAAGAAAATGTGGTATCTATACACAATGGAATTTTATGCAGCCATGAAGAAGAACGAAATGTTATCATTCCTGGTAAATGGATGGAATTGGAGAACATCATTCTGAGTGAGGTTAGCCTGGCCCAAAAGACCAAAAATCGTATGTTCTCCCTCATATGTGGACATTAGATCAAGGGCAAACACAACAAGGGGATTGGACTATGAGCACATGATAAAAGCGAGAGCACACAAGGAGGGTGAGGATAGGTAAGACCTAAAAAACTAGCTAGCATTTGTTGCCCTTAACGCAGAGAAACTAAAGCAGATACCTTAAAAGCAACTGAGGCCAATAGGAAAGGGACCAGGAACTAGAGAAAAGGTTAGATCAAAAAGAATTAACCTAGAAGGTAACACCACACACAGGAAATCAATGTGAGTCAATGCCCTGTATAGCTATCCTTATCTCAACCAGCAAAAACCCTTGTTCCTTCCTATTATTGCTTATACTCTCTCTACAACAAAATTAGAAATAAGGGCAAAATAGTTTTCTGCTGGGTATTGAGGGGGAGAGGAGGGGGTGGAGTGGGTGGTAAGGAGGGTGGGGGCAGGGGGAGAATGAAACCAAGCCTTGTATGCACATATGAATAATGAATTAATAAAAGAAAAAAAAAAAAAAGAGAGAGAGCTTCATAGAGTCTAATTTATGTCTATTAAATTTCAGTTTTTCCCTGAGTAGTAGAGACTGAACCCCAGAAGGGTTTTGGCATGCTAGGCAGGGCCCCGCCTCGACTTATTCCCCAGCCCTAGTAGTTAAATTTAGCATATTTATAGATTGCTATTACTACTTATTTAGTTACCATGGTCGGGCCTTGTTCAGAATGTGAAATACTTATGTGAGTTATTACCAGAAAACTATTCTCTCATGAAATACAGTTACCTTGTTCAGTTTTGTGTGTGATTGCAAATGTTTTTTAACACAAAAAATTTAATGTGAGTTGCAGAAAGTTGAAGAAAATTGGAGGCTCTATAAAAATAACTGAGTTTACTGTTTAATTTAATTATTTCTATATTATAAACTTAACCCTACTAACATGTAATTTTATAATTAAAAAATCACAGGATGTCAAATTGGTTTAAAAAAAAATTTTCTGTACCTTACATTTTAATATCCTGGGCAAGCATAATGGTGTGTAGCTATAGTCCGAGCTACTTGCGAGGCTAAGGTGGGAGAATCAACTTGAGCCCAAGAGTTCAAGGTCAGCCTGGACAACATAACAATACCAAGCTCAAAGAAATTTTTTTATAACAAGTTGTTTAAATAATAAAGTTTTAGAGTTGGAAAAACGTGATGATGACCATATCAGTGTTTCATTAAGATTACTTTTTTTAAACAGGTGTTATATTTCCATAAAATACATATCATCCTTTCGTTTTTATGAGAAAAAAGACAAATAAAAAATTTGAATCTAAAGTTGTTATCCACTTTCTACATTTATTAGTGTCCAGTTTTCATTTAACTACTATTTGATAACCTGAGGTTTAAAAAATTATGATTGGCTATTAAATCCACTGTAGGATTCAAATTGCCCTCAACCATCTAATGCCTTACTCCTAAAAGAAGGTTAGAAGCTTTGTGTTTCTAAAATGGAATTCTACATTGGATTCTTAATAAGGAGGTTTATTTCAGGTCTTTGTAGAAAAATACCAAGAGATTTATATGAGGATGAATTGGTGCCCCTTTTTGAGAAGGCTGTCCCATTTGGAATTTACGTCTCATGATGGATCCACTGTCTGGTCAAACAGGGTATGCATTCATCACCTTCTGTGAAAGAAGCTGCCCAGGAAGCTGTTAAACTGGTTATGTGATAGCAAATACTTCTGTCCGCAAGTTACGGCTTCAGAGAATAAATCTCAATTCAAAAATTAATCGCAATTAGCCATTGTTTGCGTCTTCTTTAGTTACTACTGAATGTTTTTGTATTTACTGAGTTGATATATGACCTTTACTTTATATTTTTCTGACTATAAAATATGTATAAAGTTTCCTAATTTTAAGGTAATTAAATAATCTAGTAGGTTACGATCAAAAGATTCATTAAAGTATTTAGCTTTAGCAGTTTTTTTTCCTTTGGTTTTAGAAAAAAGCAATGTTAAACTCAATGCAGTTGAACTTTGAGATTGATAAAAATTATAATGAAGCGAAGTGGTTCTGCAGAAACCGGAATGATCAGTTTTTAGGACTCAGTATAGGAAATGTTTGTGAATCTGTTTTATTTTTGTTATAACCTGAATGTACAATTTGTTTTAATTTTCTAATTCTTTTTGTTTCCAAGCTACTAGTCCTTTGTCTTTATCTTCTCTCCTTTCCTTACATTTAAAGCCTGCCCTCTGGTAATTTCCTTTCTCCAGAGCTTTTTGCTATTTTGTGCTTTGCTTTGTTTTTCAAGTAGGGTTTTACTTTCATGCCAGACCCACTTTGCTACAAACCACCCTGCATGGCTTTTTTATCGGTTGAGATTTGATCTCGCTAACTTTTAACTTTTTAATTTCTTTGCATTGATTAATTATAGTTGTTTCTTTATATATTGTTCTGAATTATGCTTATCTGTATCTGATTTCATCTCCAAGGACCCTGAATAATTAATGAGTTTTCAGATAGATAAAATGTGAAATTAGATTTTTGTTTGTTTGTTTGCCATGATTCCTGGCTGACAGGTATGCACAACCACACTCAGTTTTTTTCAGTTAAGATGGGGTCTTAACTTTTGCCCATGCTGGTCCAAAATCATGATTCTTCTGATCCCAGCCTCCTGATAGTTTGGATGACAGGTGCATACCACCACATTCATTATTGGTTGAAATGTTCTCCAAACTTTTTTGCTCAGGCTGGCCTAGAACAACAATTCTTCAGATCTGAGCCTCCCACGTGGTTAGGATTACGGGCATGAGGCCCCTGTGCCCAACTTGAAATAAGAGATATGTATTTTTTGACATCACAAGGTTGAATTCAGGGTTTCCACACTTGCTAGGCAAACGCTCTACCACTTGAGCCATTCTACCAGGCCTGAAATAGATATTTTAAAATATAATAACCTTGAGTTCTTTTATATGGAGGAACGGTAACAGTGAGATTTATATTGTTACTGTGGCAAGTATGAGGGAACACGGTGAGTTAATGAAGCAGGGAGTGCTTGGACCTTAAAATGTGGGGTTTTAAAAATTAAGATCAGTTGTCCTCAGTTTGAGGTGGTTTGGGGGGGTCTCTGGTTCTTTTCTTCCTTGCAGTGTGACAGCTATGAAATTCGCCCTGGTAAACACCTGGAGTGTGCATTTCTGTGGCAAACAACAGACTTTTTGTTGGGTCCATTCCAAAGAATAAGACTAAAGAGAACATCCTGGAAGAATTCAGTTAAAGTCACAGGTAAAACAAAAATGTAAATTTAGAAGTTAGTTTTGAGAAATTTATTATATTATTTATAAATAAAGTACTAAACAAGGAGCCATGTTTTAAAGTTAAATGCATGTCTCCTGTGTCTAAATTTTTCCTTTCTGCTTTATAGTAATTTGGACCAAATAAACTCCCTTATATTCTTGATTTCATGGAATTTCCCCTTCTGTTGTATTATTTGTAAATATAAGTACTAAAAAAGGAGCTATATATCGCTATGATGTGGTGGATGCTTTTGGCTTATATATCTGGCTGTTGGTTTAACAGAGGGTTTGGTGGACGTTATTCTCTATCATCAACCTGATGACAAAAAGAAGAATCGGGGGTTCTGCTTCCTCGAATATGAAGATCACAAGTCAGCAGCACAAGCCAGACGCCGGCTGATGAGTGGAAAAGTCAAAGTATGGGGAAATGTAGTGACAGTTGAATGGGCTGACCCTGTGGAAGAACCAGATCCAGAAGTCATGGCTAAGGTAAATGCAGCTGCTTGGAGTGGGGTAGGGTTATCATTTCAATTCTGTATTTAGAAGGAAGCTCAAACTTTCTGATGATACATACAAACTGTAGCTCTTGACTATTACTGCTTAGCTCAGGAGCTGACTTGGCACTGAAGAAATAGTCTGTCTTGGTATCCATGAATGTCCATTAACCATTTCTTTTCTTGCAGGTCACATAAACCAAAGGAACCAAAATTAGATCCTTTCAATTAAGTATTCTGTACACATTGGATATTTGATATTTTTACTACTAGGCACCACAAGGATACAGAGGTTTAAAAAAGACAAGGTCTTCTTGAATAAAGAGAGAAGTAACATTTTGGCGATTTTAAATTACAATCTTCATACTATCTTTTTGAAGACTTGGTTTTGTTATGTAACCAAGACTGTCCTGGAACTCACTGTTGTAGCCCAGATTGCCTCAAACTTGCAATCCTCCTGCCTTAGCCTCCTAGGTGCTGGGATTACAGGGAGCCTAGCATGTTCTTTTTTTTTTTTTTGTAGTACTGGGGTTTGAACTTGGCCTTCACCTTGAGCTACTCCACCAGCCCTTTCTTGTGAAGGGTTTTTTTGAGATAGGGTCTCGTATACTATTTGCCCAGGCTGGCTTCAAACCATGATCCTCCTGATCTTTGCCTCCTGATTAGCTATGATTACAGGCATGAGGGCACCCGGCCCTAGCTTGTTTTCTAATTGAGGGAAAAAGTTTATCTATTAGAGTAAAGCTGATGCTTTTTATTCTGTCAGTGTTACAATTCATTGAAAATCCTTTGCCAAGTTGGGTCACTTTTGTAGTCAACCAGAACCTAAGAACCTATGTGTATCTTCCTTAAAGAGACCCTCTTTCCTATTGAACATTTAATTTTTTTCTTTTCTTTTTTTTATAGTGCAACCCAGAGCTTTCCACATGCTAGGCAAATGCTCTTACCGCTGAGCTATATCCCAGACCTCCACTGAATTTTTTGGGGGCAGTACTGGGAATTAACCCCAGGAATTCTAGCAAGTGCACTTTACCACACAAGCCATAACCTTAAATCCCCACCCATGCTTCCCCCCCCCCCCCCCCCCCGCTCCACATCTGACACACAATTCCAAGAAACTGAAACTAATTTTTTTGGCAATCCTAAAATCAAACCCAGAGCCTCTTGCATGCTACACAAGCACTTCTACCAATGAGCTATGCCCCCAGCACAAGAAGTAATTTTTACATAGTACATTATGGTTTCTTAGTAGAATGATGTATACTGAGTTTTTCTTTTTTTTTTAGGCTTAGGGTGTAGCTCAGTGGTAAAGCATTTGCCTACCATGCTTAAGGCCCTGGGTTTGATCCCTAGTACCACAAAAAATAAAGCATTGTTTTCAAAGGTGAATAAATCGGTGGGGGCCTATCTAAAGTAAAGGCTAGACCTCAATCTGACATTGAGAAAAATAAAACAGAAGGGATAGAAGTGAAATGTGTTTGTTCCCCTCCCCCTTGAATTAATATCTTCTCCCCAAATCCATTTTATTCATATAACCTTTATCTGAGGCAACTATTCGTTCAGTGGTGCACTAATAGGTAATATTTCCTTGTTCAAAAATAAAAAAATACATAGAGAAGTATAAACAAAGAAGTCGTTACTTCTCCCCTAATCCCCATATCTGTCATTTCCCCTTGTCTCCTAGAAAGCATCCAGTTGGTACTGTAGGTTATCATTTTAGTATTTCCTTAGATAAGTAAGGCTAATATGATTATATTTATTTTCCTTAATTTTTGCATGAATGGTTGTTGATGGTCTCCTGTATTCACAGATACATGCTTGCTTTCTTCACCATTCTATTTCATTAGTTCTAAGAAAGTACATCATTATTATATATACCACTTAAAAATAATAAGATACTACTAATTAAACTGGCAAAGTGATTGCTTATTGTATTGACTGTAAGTTGTATCCTGATTTTGGAGATGTGAAAAATTGGGAGAAAAAGTATGTCTTACCTACCGTGGATTCTGGCAGCTTCTCAGTATCAGCTCATAGAGTTCTTCCTAGTTTTGGGTTTTTTTAATGGCTATATAACATTCTATTCTGTAGATGTACTTAGTATATTCAATCAACTGGACATTGGGCTGTTTGTAATCTTTGTTATTGCTGTAGTGAATAAGCTTCTGTCATGTCAGTTGATATAAGTGCATATATGTTAGTGGGATAAACTCTTAGAATTGTAGACCAAGGAGTAAATCCATCTGTGAGTATAAAATACTGCCATATTCTCTATAGGAGTTCTTCCTAATTCTTGACAAAATAGCTTGTGATCAAATTTCAGTCTTTTGCCAATCTAATAATAAATGTCTTACATATGTGTGTGAGTGTGTGTGTGTATTTAATATGCTTGAAGGACCATTTGTGTTTCTTTGAATGAACCATGTAGTCATGAATTTCACATATTTTTCTATTCATTTGTTGAGCCTTCTTTTATTTCTGGTGCTTATTTTAGAGTATCTCTTTGTGATGGAAGTTGCAAATTTTTTTTTTCATATTTGTCATTTATTTTTTGATTTTGCTTATGTTTTTTGCTATTTAGAAGCTATTTATTAGTTGAATGTATCACTTCTATATCTGATTTTTATTAGGTTTTAAGTCAGAAGGCCATCCCTACTCCAGTACTATATAACAGAACCATCCTTGTTTTCTTTTGATACTTTCACAGTCTCTCCTTTATTTAATTTTTGATCTGTTTGGAGTGTGTCTTTGTGTACATTGTGAAGTATGGGCCAGATTTCTCACTTACACTACTCTTGTTCAGTGCCTTAGGTATTACAGTGTGTTTATACCTGGTAGGATTATTTTCTAGATTTTAGCACCCACCCCCTAGCAATTTTTGCTTATTTATTATTCATATGGACTTTAGAAAGTTAATTTAGTTCTGGGGTGAAAACAGAAGACCTTGTTTTGGGGGGACTTAGGAACCATGTTAAATTTGTGAATTAACTTAGTAACAATTACGTATTGGTTCCTTAAAGATTTATTCACGTGTATTAGATGGCTTTAATTATGGGTAGGAGACAGCAGGGACCAATAATTTATATAAATTGGTTTTAAAAAAACTAAATAAATTGGTAACTAATGTCAGAATTAATTTCTGGACAGTTTCTTGTACTTATATGGCTTTTACCAGTTAATGCTTTGGAGAAGAAAAATGTGCCATGAAGACAGGAAGAAATGCTTTTAAGACTTAAGCTAAAATTAAGTAGTCAGTGCCAATTTTGTGTATTTATTGTTATCAGGTGAAAGTTTTATTTGTGAGAAACTTGGCTACTACAGTCACAGAAGAAATATTGGAAAAGTCATTTTCTGAATTTGGAAAACTCGAAAGAGTAAAGAAGTTGAAAGATTATGCATTTGTTCATTTTGAAGACAGAGGAGCAGCTGTTAAGGTAGAAATTTTGAAATTTTTCTTCTTGATATTTTAATTTTGTTGTTGAAACTTGGTTAATACATAGGAACTTTTAAAATAGAAATAAAATTGCTTTTTAGCTTTTTAAATTATGGTTCTGGGGATGGAACCCAGGGCCTTATATATGCTAGACAAATGGTCTGCCACTGAGTCACACCCAGAGTTCTGGTTTTTAGCTTGTGCCAAACTCTGGAACTTTTCTTTTTTAAACAGTATAGCAACAGTATTTAACGGGTAAGACTCCAAAGCCAGATTATTACTGAGTTTGTGATCTCAGGTAAGTTATTTTTTAATATGTCTATTGTTTTTGTCAGTCTAATACATCTTGGAAATATTACAAGATATAATAGCTGCTGTACAATACAGGCTACTTCAGTGGTAATTCAAAGTGTGAAAAAAGTATTTTTATATGGCATCTAGACCATGAGATCTGGATATGCTGCTGCTTTCTTTTACTAACAGATTAGCAGCATCTTTAATGGGTGAAATGTCCAGTTTCTTCTTGCCTCTGTCCCATTCCCTGGACAGGAACATAAGACAAAAAACAATCTATTTTATATAATCAATGGATCCAAAATGCTAGTGACTCAAATTTGGCTCTCTTTCTACATGGTCTGTTGGTAGTGTATTACCACTTGTAATTTGAACGTTTTCCCCCCTGACCAGGCTACTGCTTTAAAACAGGCCTCATAAAATATTTTACTAGTGTAGGGTCTTTTGTTTGTTTCTGAGGGGCTGGGGATCAAACCCAAGTCCAGAATACCAGGTGCTCCATGATGGAGCTATCCCACCATCCCGGGTGTATAGTTGACTTGAGTACTTACAGGTTCTAGTGAGGGAGTAGTACACACAAAATTCATAGCTTGTATGTAATCCAGTTTTCTTTTAATGTATGATTTCTGAAATTTCCAATGGTATAAAACACAGGTAACTAATGAGTTTACATAGTGCTTTCTAAATACTCTTTTTGATTCTGTTGGTATTAAAATAATTGAATGACCTAATAGGAAATATTTGCAAGAACTGAAAATATTTATGAGAACTAAAGGATGGTTTGCCAAGGAAATCTAAGAGATTATGAAACTTCTGGTTCTTTTGTTTATAACCAGAAGCTCTGTGTGTGTATATGTGTGTTGCTGGAGATCAACCCTAGGCATGCTAGGCAAGCACTTTATCACTGAGCCCATCCCCAGCCTTATATCAGAAAGCTTTAGTAGACTTCTTTAGCATTATAATTTTTTTTTTTTTGGTAGTATGGGGTTTGAACTCAGGGCTTCATGCTTGCTAGGCAGGCACTCTATCACTTGAGCCACTCCACCAGCCCATAGACTTCTTTAGTTGCTTTAGTTGAAGCAGCCCAAATCTGGGATGGTAAAAGGCAAAAATTGAAATCAAAAAGACTAATTTTCATCTAAATACTTGTAAACCACTGGAACATTCTGTATGATTAAAGCATTTTATAATGTATACTCAGGGGTGGGGGGATGGATAAAAATGTGAAGCAGAAACATTTTATTACTAATGAACTGAAACTATAAGTATGGCAGAAGTTGCGGAGTACAACAGTAGAAGTAAAGGACTAGAACTGAGAATTCAAGGTTCCTGCCTTCTTGGTGATTGTGTGAGTCTTAGCCTTTTCTGAGCTTTACTTATAACTGCTCAGGCAAAGAATATTCCAGGTTAAGTGTTGTGAGTGTCTTGTTGAATTTCACTGATAATGCTCAGTAATCTCGCTTGCAGTTCACATCCTTGAAATTTTTGTGTAGGAACAGTGTAAGACCTGTACGTTGAATATCATGTTTGTGTGAAAACTTGACACCTGAGGAATTTATTTTTGTCTGGTTTGAATGAATGTTGGCTTTTTTTTTTTTCTTGGCAAGGATTTGTTTCTTTAATAGGGCTAAACTTTAAGAAGTTAGGTATTTAGAATTAAGGAGCAGTAATAAGCAGCTCTGTTAGCTTTTAAAATATAATATGAAGATACCAGCTTTATTCTCAATGTAATTTATATATGAAAAGATAAGGGAGGGAAAGGAGTACTTTTTAAAATTTTTTTTCTGGCTATATTAATCTTGCAAATTAATTGTGAAATTATTCACCAAGTATATTAAATAACACATTTATCTTGTTTTATTTCAAGGTACTGTTTCTTATAAAATAAATTTATTTTTCTAATTTCACATAGGCTATGGATGAAATGAATGGAAAAGAAATAGAAGGGGAAGAAATTGAAATAGTTTTAGCTAAGCCACCAGACAAGAAAAGGAAAGAGCGCCAAGCTGCTAGACAGGCTTCCAGAAGCACTGCGTGAGTTTATGTTCTAGTAGACATGTTTTTGAATGAGGAATAACCTGATAACAGAGATCACGTTAATAAACAAAATCAGGAAGGGTCTTGAAGTAAACTAGCTTTTTTTTTTCTTTTCTCCCTCCCTTGCTAGGTATGAAGATTATTACTATCACCCTCCTCCTCGAATGCCACCTCCAATTAGAGGTCGAGGTCGTGGTGGAGGGAGAGGTGGCTATGGCTATCCTCCTGATTACTATGGCTATGAAGATTACTATGATGACTACTATGGTTATGATTATCACGACTATCGTGGAGGCTATGAAGATCCCTACTATGGCTATGATGATGGCTATGCAGTAAGAGGAAGAGGAGGAGGAAGGGGAGGGCGAGGTGCTCCACCACCACCACGGGGGCGGGGAGCACCACCTCCAAGAGGTAGAGCTGGCTATTCACAGAGGGGGGCACCTTTGGGACCACCAAGAGGCTCTAGGGGTGGCAGAGGGGGTCCTGCACAACAGCAGAGAGGCCGTGGTTCCCGTGGAGCTCGGGGCAATCGTGGGGGCAATGTAGGAGGCAAGAGAAAGGCAGATGGGTACAACCAACCTGATTCCAAGCGTCGTCAGACCAACAACCAACAGAACTGGGGCTCCCAACCCATCGCTCAGCAGCCGCTTCAGCAAGGTGGTGACTATTCTGGTAACTATGGTTACAATAATGACAACCAGGAATTTTATCAGGATACTTATGGGCAACAGTGGAAATAGACAAGTGAGGGCTTGAAAATGATACTGGCAAGATACGATTGGCTCTAGATCTACATTCTTCAAAAAAAAAAAAAAAAACAATTGGCTTAACTGTTTCATCTTTAAGTAGCAATTTGCTGCCATTTGTATTGAGCTGAAGAAATCACTATCGTGTATATACTCAAGTCTTTTTATTTTTCTTCTTTTCAAAAATGCTCTTGGACATTATTGGGCTTGCAGAGTTCCCTTATTCTGGGGACTACAATGCTTTTATCGTTTCAGGCTTCATTTTAGCTTCAGAACAAGCTGTTAAATCATGATTTTGCAGAACCTTTGGTTTGGACAGTTTCATTTTTTTGGATTTGGGATAGATTACATAGGAGTATGAAGTATGCTGTAAATAAAAATACAAGCTAGTGCTTTGTCTTAGTAGTTTTAAGAAATTAAAGCAAACAAATTTAAGTTTTCTTGTATTGAAAATAACCTATGATTGTATGTTTTGCATTCCTAGAAGTAGGTTAACTGTGTTTTTAAATTGTTATAACTTCACACCTTTTTGAAATCTGCCCTACAAAATTTGTTTGGCTTAAACGTCAAAGCCGTGACAATTTGTTCTTTGATGTGATTGTATTTCCAATTTCTTGTTCATGTAAGATTTCAATAAAACTCAAAAATCTATTCAAAACATTACCTATTTCAAATTCAATTGTGTCCTAAAACATTTATTTTATTCGTAATCCTTGCAAGGAATATTGTTTTCAAAGTATAACTGCCTATGTGAGTGATCAAATTCATGCAAAATTTCTTGTCTATTCCAACATGTATCATGGATGTCAAATTGAAGATTAGTCTAAATTCAAGTATTTATTCCAAATAGCATTTCATTGATTTGGTGTTCTCTCATAATCTCTTCTAATTTTGAAATTTTATCCTTTATTCCAAAAACGTTTTAAAGGTTTTTGAACATTTTTGCAGGCATTGGATAATTTGCTTTAAAACAAAATGGGGCTGGGGAACTAGACTGCAGTTTGACCCACATTATTATTTCTGTCAAGGAATTTGTGGCTGATGACCTTATTTGCTGGATAAGTGAATGTATGTACAGAGCAAAATGTAGTACTGTGGCGTCATTTGCACTGCAGACTAAACTTCACTTTTAGTGTACATGATTGGCACTGCCACTTCAGTTACTGGTTTAATATAATTTCCTCTTGCTATGTAAATTTGCTTTGGGAAACAATCATGCCTTCTGAGAGAGGCTTTTAAATACTTAGCAGTTATACCTCTGACTTTCTGTTAACACCTTGTAGTTTTTCATTTTTACTGTGTCTAATGGCTGTTTTTGTTGGCCAAATGATAACATCTATATTTCCCTATATTTCTTTTAGAAATTCTGATTTATTCTAATGACTTTTTTGCTTGAGTGAGAGGACCAAAGAATATAAATTTATAGTATAGAAAACTTTCACTTTCAAGTTAATTTCAAACTTTCCCTTCCATTTTATTGTTAGGTAGTTGTAAAATATTTTTTGTTTTGGTGCTGGGGATTGAGCCCAGAGCCTTGTGCATGTGTGCTCAGCATGCACTCTACTACTGAGCTTTACCCTTCACCCCTCTAATTATAAAAATACAAGCCATTGGGGATAAGTAAAGTGGACCTACCATTATTTTATGTTTTGTTCCTGTTTGGTGTCTTTTGTGATAGCAATATTAGATTTCAAAATCGTAAGTCATTTAACTCCTTGTGAACCTGTTGAGATCATGTTTTGGGTTTCATGACTTCTGTTTCGAATAAAAAAAATCAACTTTTGCAAATGAAAGTCAATCTATTACATTTCTTTTTCAAGTTCACTTGTTCATATTATAGTAATGTAACAGGCCTTATTAATATTCCTCTTAGTTTTTGAAAACGAAGGAATTATATGGTCTGTAGTAGTTGCAAGTTAACATGGGTCCTTATATAAGGTTTAGATTTAGTTGTTTTTCTTATGCCCATGTATGCAAATGAAGATACCAAACATTCTTTAATGCTGCTTTTAAATTTGAGGAATGTAATTTGAAGCTGTAAGTCTAAATTAGAACTAAATAAGGCACTGATTTTTCTTGGAGAGAACAATCTATAAATAAAATTTGAGTTGCTTATTTTAAAAAAATTAGATGTTACAAGCTAGAAAGTCATGAAGAAAATTAGGAATGGGAATTGGAGTGGTTCTGAAAATGTAGTTTACTGTGCTTCTGCCACCTACCCTAAAATAACCTAGCAAAACATAACAGTAAAACTTAGGGTCCATGTCAGAATCCTTTTGATTGCCAATTATATCTTTAATTTTAAAGTGGCCACTTCCTCTCTATCCCGTTCACTAATCAAAAAATGTATCTGCAGAGGTTCCCTCTAATACTTGCTGTATAGCTTTTGTGATTTATTTAATGTAAAAGTATAACCCTATGAATACTAAATCTTACTTTAGTGCTTTTCTTTTTGATGTCTTATAAATTATCAATTGTAACAACATTCAGAGAAAATAAATTCAGAGCTCAACTCTTCACAGAAATAAATCCAGCTATATAATATGTAAACCTGGAAAGTGTCCATACAGGGAAGTCTGTCTTCTAGACATTTGCAGTAGGGTTTTTCTGTTTTTGTTTTAAATAGGCGCAAATTATGAGTTCTGAGGAATTTGGCTTACTTGTTCTACCTTTCTATCTTTTCCCCTTCCACCTGATCAATTAAGTTTTGTTTATGAGTCTGTTACACTGAAGCGTGTGTTGGGAAGTAATACCTAGATTGAGGTAGCCCTCTTTGTAGGTATCCTCTTAAGAATGACAAATATACCCCTTCCCATAATGGAATGCTAATTTTTATTTGATCACTCATTTATAGCAGTTGTTTAAATGTATGTATTTACATGAAGGTGTTTTAATTATTTAAAAGCAAAAAAGTTCTAATAAGTTGCCAGATTTCTAATAAATCCAAGTTTACTTGATCAAATTATAAGGAAATTGAGTTATGGTTCTGTAGTTAGCTTTTTTTAAAGAAAAGAGTTCAGCATAATTGTTTTTCATTTTTCTTATTTACTGGTTTTACTGCAAAAGAAAGCCCAATGCTTTCTGCTAGTAGTAGGTATTTTTCTCTTATTAGACTTTGAACTCTGATGTAGGAGGTAAAAACCCTTTTTTTTTATATAAAGATCAGCATGCATCAAAATATATATTTTAAATTACAAAAGCAAAGAGACATAAAATTCCACTCCTAGCATAAAGCCTTGCTCTTAAAACTCATTACATCATTTGCCTTCTGCCCATTTGGATATAATCACACCTATGTTTTATTAATTGTGTATTATTTGTAAAACCAAACCCTTCCAGTAAATACTTGCTATAAGGCTATTACTTGTTCATTATAAAGACATAAATTGGTTCAAATTTGCCATTTTGATTTTCTCAAGAAAATTTTATCACACTAAACTATCTAGTATTCTTAAAGAAAATGAACTATAGTTAATGTTTGTATTGTCCTTTAATATATGGAGTCTCCTAAGTGAGCAGCTAAGAAAAAAAGCCTTATAGAAAGTGCACTGGATTTATAAGTGTTTATGTTTCTCTAAGAATGGGAGCTTCTGTTAACTTAGGGGTAGAGTTGTTCTGAGTAAGCCAGTAGATTGGATTACTGACTGGAGAACCCATAATAAAAGTCTATTAACCAGATATGTTTACTTTTACATTGGAAGTTTGTTGATTAGGTCTTATTTTGAAATGCAAACACCAAGCTTTAAAAAATTACTTATTTAATGTTTTGGTCAGTAATTTAATACAAATATTTACTAATTTGAAATTGTTACTGGTAATGTTTTTATAACTTTTTTCTTTTTAAATACGTATATGTGTATATATATATATATATATTTTTTTTTTTTTTTTTTAGAGGTTACCAGAAGCTCTGGTTTGGTTTTGGTTTTGGTTTTTAATCATTTTCAGATGTTACCCAGAAATCTGCAAGTGTACTTTTCCTGTTTTAACTCCTTCCTTTTATCACCTGACTATCAGGGAAGCGAGGTTGAGGCTGCCCTGACCTGACATGTCATGATGTCGACTTGCTAGGTGGGGTTCGCTGGGGACGATAACCAGTGGAATTCTTGGTAAGAACTTTTTTTTTCCTATTTTTTTTTTTTTATCAGTAGTGGGGCAATAATTGTGGGAGAATGCCCATATCCTATACATAGACAATTATGTTGACCTTGTAAAAAAATAAGATTTTAATATTAAATCTGTTCTTAATAGAAACATATAATAAGACCTTTGCTCATTCTCAAATTGGTGGCAGATCAACAGAAAAGGCTTGCCAGTTAAATAATGCGATCGATATTCATGGTATAATTTAAGTTGTCAAGATGCCTTATAATCTAAAACACCTGTTGGAGAGACAAAGTTGCTTTATTTTACTATGATTCCAGTCCCTCTAGTCTCATATCTTATATATTTTTATTGGATTGATTAGTATATATTACATGTTAAGAGATAGTCATTATATATTAATTTTAGTGAAAAATGGGAAGATATTGATAGATTTGACAGTTTAAATACTAGAAGGTAATTTATTTTTTTTAATCCTTCAAAATCAACATAAAATTGAACTTGAGGCCAGGCACCGGTGGCTCACATCTATAATCTTTAGCTACTTGGGAGACTGAGATCAGGAGGATCGAAATTCAAAGCCAGCCCTAACAAATAGTTCATGAGACCCCATCTCCAAAATGACCACCGCAAAATGTACTGGAAGTGTGGCTCAAGCAGTAGAGTGTGCTTTGCAAGCATAAAGCCCTGAGTTCACACTCCAATCCCACCAAAATAAATAATGAAATTAAACTTGAAAGTTTTAGCAACTTGACAAAACTGTGGTGTCATACATTGATATAATGAAATCAAAGACCTTGAGCATTAATAGAAAAACTAATGTGGGGCTGATGGTATAACTTAATGGTAGAACTTATGCTTAGCATACTAGAGGCCCTGGGTTCTATCCCAAGTCAAAAAACAAACACAAAGAAGCACAAACCTGTTAAGATTAGTAGATACTGGTAGAATTCAGACTCAAAATTCAGATGATTGCTAAACATTAAAATTTCCCATCTTGTGCCATGTGATAGACACCTACAATCCCAGCAGCAGAGGCAGGAGGATCTTGTTCAAGACCAGCCTGGGCTACATAGTGAGTTCAAGGCTATCCTGAGCTACATAGCTAGACCTTGTTTCAAAAATTAAGAGCTGAAGATGTAGATCAATAGTAGAATGCTTATGCAGCATGTGTAAGGCCCTAGGGTCAAAGCCTACCACCACCAAAGCCCCCCACTCCCTCCCTCAAAACTAAACAAACTCACCTTTTACTCTGCAGAGGATTTTATCGATGGTAAAGTATAAAGTGAGGGGAATAAATTTAAAAACTAGGCATTTCTGACCATACCACATAAAAATAATTGTAATATGATATAACATTGATTGAAAGTAATTATGAAGCCTATTCTTCATGTATTCTTACAGAGCTTTACCTTCTTAATTGGTTAGAAGACTGGTAGTTGTTACACATGTGCTAGTCAGCGTCGTGCATATAAGTGCTTATCTCCATGTTTGCTGTAGACAACCTGTACATTGGTAATGAAATTATACTGGAAGAATTACAGTGATTGCAGTGTTGTATTAAGGTACTTGTTTCTCTTCTGACATAATTTATGCATGTGTCAGTGATTAAAGATTGCACTAAAAAGCATGCTCTTTAGGAACTTCTATGGTAAATGATAGGAACATTCAAATAATTCTGACGAGTTTGTACAAGTTAAGAGAAATGCAAAGCAAATTTGTTGAGTTTGTGCATTTGCAACAAAATACATTTCGTGGGACCAAAAATGGAGGAGGTACCCTGGGGGAAAATTTAAATTGCTCAAATGTCAGTAACTACTCCCATTTTATGTCATAACTTTACCCGTACCCCGTGAACATTGCTCATCTTAATTTCTCACATGAGAGCATTGGGCAGAAGAGATTTCTGTAGCCTATTTAATAACATAGGTAGAGTTGTTCTTTAATGAGTCTTATTCTGATGTTTAGTACTATATTCTAAGGCTGTTTCTATATTAGATTGAAAGCTTCTGCAAGCGTGAAATTGCTGATATGCATACAGTAACATGGGAAATACCCAAATTGAGACATTTACAAGACCTTTTCCATTTAATGATCATTAAAAAAAAAAAAAAAAACATGCTTTTGGTACAGTGTTGATGTACCATAACTGTATTGGAATATTTGTACATTGTTAATATTTTTAATAAAATTGAACATGTTCAAAATGTTGTGTTGGTGATTTTGGGTGGGGTGTGATGGATTCAGTTGCAAAACAGATTCAGTAGTTAATGTAATTCAAATGAATTTCCTATACTCAGATTCAGTACTACTTCCTGTTTAAAGGCAGGTAGTGAAGGAATGGCAAGGTAGAAATAAAAGGACTGAATTCTTGGGGATTGTTACATTGTCAGAGAGTACTTTGCTGGGGTTAGACTTGGTTAGGTGGGAATGTTGGCTTTGGCCTTACAGGTGCCAGTTAAGTTTTTCTGAGGAGATTGTGGCATAACAATATTAGAACTGATCCTAGAGAAACTATAGATGTGGGTAAATGGAAACACTTGTACTGTGCTCTTTATTGCCTTGAGCCCTTAACATGACTTGCCGCAAGAGAAGAGGTGTATTTGAGGAAGGCTCTTTTGGAGGGTTTGGAGGCATGATTGGGAAATACCACCAGTGTATCAGAAGTACCATCTGAAGAGCTCTCTTTATTTCTTACAGTAAACTCAGTTTCTCTTTTCACATTGATCCCATTCTCTTGCAGATTGCTTTAATACACTAGTTTTCTTATGACTTAATTTCCTTGAGGGTATCCTTAGATTCTTACCAGTTTAAAAGATGGAAGTTGTGCAACTCAAAATGGAAGGTCACTTGAAGTAATGTGCCCATTCCTCTGTACATTGTGCCAGCAATAGCAAAAAAGACCTAAGAGATGATAGGGACCTAATGATCTATAAACAAATTAAGTGAATAGTAAGGAGTGGTGGTAATAATTTTACCTTGTCTCTTTTGAATGAAGATTAAAAGCCAAAATATCTCAACTTGGGCTGTCAGAGCCAGAGGTGGGATGGAAATTGGGCATGCTCATTAATTTATGGTTTGTGTTTTCTGAAAATAAAGAGAAGTTTGCTTTTGACACACATTTTAAGCTTAACCTCTGTTGTTCTTTAAACCCTGAATTTATTTAGTTTAGTTTTAGAAATAACACTGGGCATGGTGGCACATACTTGTAACCCCCAGCACTCAGGAAGCTGAGGCAGAAAAATTGTTTGAGGCCATCTTGGGCTACATACATAAATGAGACACTGTCTCAAAAAAATTAAAGGAAAAAAAAAGATTCTTTCTAGGTATTTTCCTGTGGAGTGCATTAAATTTACATAGGGGAATGTTTCCTACAGGCAGAGGTAGCCGAGAGAGACCCTTTTCAAAAATAAAAGGACTGGGAGCATAGGTCAAGTTGTAGAGAGCACTTTCCTAGTATGCACAAGGCTCTGGGTTCAATCCATGGCACTACACACAAAGGCAGGAGGGACTAGAGATAAAGCTCAGTGTTGGACCCTAGCAACACAGGCTCTGGGTGCAATGCGCAGCACTGAAGGAAAAAAGAAAAAGATTAAATCACCTGTAAAATCACACAATTTACTTACACCGGGTGCAGTGGCATGTGCCTGAAGTCTCAGGTCATTGAGAGGCTGAGGCAAGAGAATCACTGAAGCCTCCCTGGCAACATAGGTACTGTCTTAAAAACAAACAAAAAATACAGCTTAGTCCTTTTAAAATAAATACGGAGTTTGGTCCTTTACAGTTCTTTTCCACAGAGTTGAAGGTGAGGATGAATATTAGGAAGTATAGAGCATTGGTAGAGAAGGAGCTCAACCTCAAGTTTTCACAGATGTAAAAGGGAAAATATTTCCTTACATGCTAAAATACTGCATTAGTACAGGTGTCATTAACAATCTGAAACATTTTCATACAAAGGTTCTTCAGAGATTAATTTTGTACTTCAGCTAGGAATGTTTTAAATCTCTGAATTTCAGTTGCCTAGGTTTTTTAAGTAGATAAAGCAGAAGTTAATTTGTTTTTAAAGACCATGATTGTTTTTATCAGGTAAATCACTTTTTAAAATTTTGTGTTTTGTATTGATCAAGTTCAAGTTGATTTGAACTTACTGATTATATTGGTGCTTATTTGGCTTTTATTCAGTTACCTGAATTGGTTTGGTCAGGAGGACTTGGATGCCCTTCTGACAAGTCATAGTATGACTAAATATTTGTGTTGAATGGTATATATTTAGCTTTACCTTGTATTAAAACTTTGTATGCTTTCTGTGAAGAAATAAAATATTGCTGGGTGTAGTGGCACATATCTGATCCCAGCACTGGGGAGGCTGAGGCAGGAGGATCTCAAGCTGGAGGCCAGCCTGGGCTCCATAATAAGACCCTGTCTCCAAACAGAAAAGAGAATCCTGGGCTGGGGAGGATGTAACTTAGTGGTAGAATGCTTTCCTAGCCCTAGAACCATCAAATAAATAAATGGAACCAACAATAAATACTGTTATGGAAACTTGTTTTTACATAATAAGGAATAATGTAGATATGTTCGTGAATGGAAATGGCATTTCTCTTTGACTTCCTAAATAGGAAAGAAAATACATTGTGCACATTAAGATGATTTTGAGGTGATCCTGTTTGTCGTCCCAGCTTCTCAGGAGGTTGAAGCAAGAAGATCACAGTTTCCACGCCAGCGCCTAGATCTAGTTGATCTGAGATTTTAAGCAATGGTAAAGAGCTGGGGGGAGAGAGGAAGGATTAGCTCTGTAGTATAGCACTTACCTAACTTGCACTGGCTTAAGACAATGGCTTAATCCCTAGCATAGGGAACATTTGTTCACTGCAAATGTTAATAGTGCTTAGGATTCCAAGGAAGTGTTAGGGAAGAAAATGAAGTGAATTTAGAAGACGGGTTTTCATGGTTTCAGGGGATTGCTAGAAAATAGCAGTGGAAAGGAGAAGTAAAGTTGAGACTGCTGAGGAAGCATCATTTCATATTTACTTAGGATCAGATCAGAAACAGGTTACAAGAGCACCCAGGGTGAAACTACACTGAAGACTCAGAAAGGGAAGATTGGCAGGTCGGTAAAAATACCAGTGTGGTTGATTATTTAGCTCTTAACTTTGCCTCCAACAGAGCAAAGTGTTGGGTAGTAAAAAAAACAAAACTAAACTAAAGTAGGTGAAGGGAAAAAAATCATTAAAGATGACTTTTTTTTTCTGGTGGTACTGGGGCTTGAACTCAGGGCCTATACCTTGTTCCACTCCACCAGCCCCTTTTTTTTGGTGATGGCTGTTTTTGAGATGGGGTCCCGAGAACTGTTTGCCCAGGCAGGCTTCAAACCACAATCGTCCTGATCTTTGCCTTCTGAGTCGCTAAGATTACAGGCATGAGCCATCAGCATACAGGTAAAGATGACTTTTTAAAAACAACTTTCGGGGATTAACAGCAAAGGTAGGAAATGCTCAAGAAGAATAGAAATGGCAAGTGTATTCATCTTTATACAATGAGAGACTAGATCATTGTGATAAAATACCTGATTCTCCCCACCTTTAGTTTTGAGCTCAGTCTCACAATTGCTAGAAAGTTGAGGTGACACTTGAGCCCCATCTCCATCCCTAAAATACCTGATTTTCCAGTCTGTTTTTATTGAGAAAAATATAGATGAAGGACAGACACACACTCTGCTGTTTCTTTTATTTTTCTGCAAGCATTTTTACGGTATGTTAAACCTATTGTGTGAGTTCTTTGTACCGGTCTTCATGCTAAAGAGGCATTTTACATGTAATGTACAACACTACAAGGTAGGTGTTATAGTTCCTCTTTACATATAAGGAACTCAGAGATTGAGGGTGGGTAACTTGTTCTTTGTTACCAGCCAGGATTCCAACCTTGTCCTACCTGACTCCAAGGTACATTCTAAACTACCAAATTAGAAGCAGGTGTAACTTGAGGTGAATGGTAAATTTTATATGTACTTTAAAACTTTTAGTTTGAGTCTGAAGCCAACCGAATTTGAATTTAAGGTAAAATAGGCAAGGGCCCTGGTTCAGTGGTAGAGCACCTGCCTAGCAAGCACAAGTCAGAGTATTTTTGTTTCCGTTCTGTCTTAGGAACATTTGAGTCCTGTAGATAACAGCATCACTTTTTTTTTGTTTGTTTGTTTTGGCACTTTGAATTCAGGGCCTCACGCTTGTGAGGCAGACACTCTTAATAGCCCATTTGAGCCACTCTGATAGCCCTTTTTTGTTTTTTTGTTTTTTTCAAAATAGGGCCTCTGCCTGGGCCGACTTTAAACTGTGATCCTCCTAATCTCTACCACCCAAGTAGCTAAGACTACAGGTGTGAGCCTCCAGCACCCAGTTTCACAGTTTTGTTTTGTTTTTTTTAAAGCCTGTTAATTCATAAGAATAGGATTAGGGAATACCCAGTACTCATTTAGGGCGAAGCTGAAGCCTTATATTATTTACCATGCCTAGGCTGTTTGGTTACTTCTTTGAGTTTAATAACTATTATTGCTAATCTGACCCTAGGAGTAGTGTTCTTAACAAAATTTTCACATAGTTGCCTTTTTTTCCCCCCAGTGCTGAGGATCAAAGCCAGGGCCTTACACATGTTAGGCAAACCCTGTACCACTGAACTATATTCCCAAGTCTTAATTTTCTGAGATGGGGTATTGCTACGTAGCTCAGACTGATCTTGAACGCTCCATCTCCTGCCTCTGCCTCCTGACTGCCGGGATTACAGGTACGCACCACCATGCTGGACTCAAACAAGGCTACTTTTGTTTGGGGGCAGACTTTGTGTCTGCCAGAGGGAGATTATTAATATTATTAATGATGTAAAATATTGCATTAATAAAAAATCTGACCAATATTTTCTGAAAAGTCAGTATTTTCAGTTGTGTTGTTTTGTTTTAAAGATAGGATCTTACGTAGTCCAGGCTGGCCTTGGAACTCAGCATTATTCTGCTTCAGCCTTCTCAGTGCTGGGATTGCAGGCACGTAGTACCACACCTACCTTTATTATTTTAAAAATAACATTTGTATAGCAATATTGCTTCATATTTTGGTCTGGAAGATCAGTTAAAGCAATGGTAAATGCTTTATAAAACTACCCAAAGATTGTAATCTGGTGTAGTATTTAAATATATATAGCTGTGTAGTGACCTTGAAGGAAGAAATTTGAGTCATTGTTTATCAGCAACTGAATGTGAATTCTCAGTAGAGAGTATATTGAGAATATATTGTGATCTTACCAACATTTTTGAGAAAATGTTTAATAAACAAACCTAAACCCAAATTGAGGCTTTATCCAATCTCCTAATGTTGGGGTTTGAACACAGGGCCTCACGCTTGATAGGCAGGTGCTCTTATCACTTGAGCTATAACCCAGCCCTTTTTGCTTTAGTTATTTTTCAGGTATGGTCTTGGATTTTTAGCCTGGACCACAGTCTTTCACTTTATGTGTTCTTCATAGCTGGGACTACAGGGGTGCACTACCGTGCACAGTTATTGGCCAACTTTCTGCCCAAGCTGACCTCTAACCACCAACCTCCCAATTGCCACCTTCCAAATAGCTGGAATTGCATTCCTAGACCACCATGCCTGACCAATGTTGAAAACTCTTAATTATGGTCTTATTTTCATTAATGTTAGCATACGGTTATGGTGTTTTGTTTTTTAAATTTCTTTTGAGGTACTTGGTTTTGAACTCAGGGCCAGGGCCTTGCCTAGTTGAGCCACACCCCAGCAGTATTTCTCACCTTAAAATAAGAATTGTAAAAACTAAATGACAGTTGCTAGTTCCTTCTCCACAATGAGAAATTTCAGTATGATAGGAGGAATTACCAAAACTTTTTTTTTTTCCAGAAAGTATACTAATATCTGGATCAACCTGTTAATGTTTAGGAAAAGGAAATCATTAAGTGGACTGATTTATATATCCTCAACTAAACAGTTACCTAAAAGTCAGCTGTTTATTTAAAAACTATAAATCCAGTTTATACCTAGATTGGTATGTTGTGCTTTAATTGAATGTTTACTGAGTGTTTGTTTTAGGAGTTGGAAGTACAGAAGCAGCAAATTGTTATCATCTTCAAGGAATTTGGATTACAAATAGGAGCGATACCATCACGCCACATCTTCCAGAAACACCATTAGAAGTTTAAAAGGTGTTCTGTGTCTCTGATAAAATATGCAGGTTATAATTGTAGTATATGAATTATGTGAGTGATTTAGATTACTCTAGGAGAGCAGAAGCGTTTATAAAATGTGTGTAGTGTGATCTTTTTAACTAACTAAAATTGACCTTAATATATGTTGGATATTATCAAAGTAACTTGATTTTAAGAATTTTCACCTAATTCTAATTTTGTTTAAAGAAAATATAAAAATATAAAGATGAATGTGTATGAATATGAGCAAACAAATTTGGTTTCCTTATATTTTTGCTTTCCCATTACTAAAATTCTAAGCCTTTACATGAGAAATTACTGGTTAAGGTTGAATTAATGAGCAGTTCCCTGTACCATTTCTTTCTTCCCTGAATGTAAACAGACATAAAGATGTTGCTTGGTTAAAATGGAATAGATTTGGGGCTGGGGATGTAGCTCTGTGGCAGAGCACTTGCCTAGTATGCAAGGCCCTAGGTTCAAGCAATCCTCAGCACTTAAAAAAGAGGAGGAGGGCAGATCGAGAATAGATTTACTCAAAATAACTTTTCTCCTACCCTGTACCCATCAAATTTCCTATGAAATCAAGCTGTTTTATCCTCTGTGTCTTAGGAAACTGGTTACTGTAGTGTCTGGTACACATTTTTGTCAATAGTCTTAGAGGACACTAATATTTGACAGAAGTGATTTGTTAAAAGATGAACACATAGCTCCTTTTTGTGTAAAAATAAATTTTAAAAAACCTCAGAATGGTATCTCTTTAGAATATGGGTTTCAATCCAGTTACTTTCCAGCCTTTTCAGCTCTTCATTCTCCATTCGTTATTTCTCACCCATAAACACGTTCTTTTAAAAATAGCTCTCAGAGAGTTAGGTGTGGTGACACACATTTGGAATTCCTTCTACTCAGGAGGCTGAGGCAGGAGAATCACAAGTTTTGAGGCCAGCCTCAGCAACTTAGTGATGTCCTCTCTCAAAATAAAAAAGGTCTGGGTGTGTAGCTCAGTGGTATAGTACTTGCCTAGCCTGCATAGGCTCTGGCTTGTGTTTCCAGCCCCATATACAAAAAAAGTTCTAAGCTCTGTAAACTACCATGTAGAAATTTTAGTCAGCCTTGAAAGACTCAGGCCAACACATGAAAATGGGTAGAATTTCAGTCAAAAACAAACCTCACTGAAAAGCCCATACTGAGTGTTTCCAGCATGCTGCCTTTGTCTTAACTTTCTTGTGTTACTGTTTAAACTTTAGACAAGCCCTGAAAAATATAAATGTAGATACTAAGACAAATACTTTCATCCAAGACCTCCCAACTAGAAGAGGTCCATCTGGTACTGAACCCAGGTGTGACACAAGAACTGACATTGTAAGCACCACTTGTTCTGCCTCTGGCTCTCACTCGCTCCATGTAGTACTTTAGGGGAGGGAATGCCATTAGACTTCTTTGAGATCTTGAAAATCTGGGATATTACTAACTAGGTAGTTAGGCTAACAGTTTCTCCAGCTCAGAACTATAGGTGGGGCTGACTGGATTTGATAGAAAGATGAGCATAAGAATTACTTCATGTTGTGATATTAAGATTAATGATAGCCTTCTGGATACTTCAGTCACTTCCCTTTTATAAATAATGTGTTTGCAGTATGGCCTCCATTAATTGAACAGTGGCTTTCTTAAGCTATATTTTTAGTGAAATGGAGCCAGGCCGAGAATTTTACCTGCAACTCTTAAGATTTTACATGGAAATCAATTTTATTGTCTTCACTTTTTCTTTCCAGATTGGAGCTGGTATTGTTTAAAGGTAAAGCCACTTTTTCTGTGAATACTTCTTAGTTCCCCTGTTTTGTATCTTCCTGTTTTCTTTTGTCTTTGAACGGGCTAATAGAAGGTCACGCGGTATGCTGGGTGCATATATAACTGTGTGTGTGTGTGGTGTTGCTTACTTCCTTTTTAATGCTTTCCTTGTTATCCCCAGTTGCTACCTCTCTGTTCATGTGTGTTTTAGACATGGGGCCTCATTCCCTTTTCTCTTAGTAGCTCATCTGATTTGCCAAGGTAGGGCCATGAAATAAAGATAAAGCAGAACCAGAACTTCTTAAGTTTTTCATTTAATTCCTGGAGAAAGCCTATACTGGTCATATAAGCACAGTTAAATGATTTCCTGTTAGCTTGGAAATACCTGGCAGTAACAGCCACTAATACCAGAACTGGGACTTACTTAACAAAGCCAGGCTGTCACTAGTTGGTACCAAGACCACCTAATCAACTTCATAATTCTGAATAGAAACCTGACTAACAAGGTACCCTCAGATGCCTTGGGGTTCCATCTAGCTGTGTTCTACCTAGGAGATTGATAATTACAGATTAGCTGCTATTCCATCAAAGCTGGTGGGCTAATTGCAGTAATCTTCAGGCCATTTCATTTGCTTTTCTTCCCAGCCATTGTTCTTGATTTTTTTTTGTTACTTTTGACACAACTGAGTAAACTTTCAAAACTTAGTTTTTGCTGGCTGTGATCCACACATAGTTCTGTACATCTTGTCCCCTGAAACACTCCTTTCTGTGACTTTTGTCCTGTTAGAAAGTTAATCCACTTTTACGTTTACACTGGATTTTACATCTTTTCAAATCATGCCTCTAACCATATTATTTTTATTCTCATATATGCCTCCAGATGGAATGAGACTCGATAATGTTGAAAAACCGTTACCAGCATTTGTTTGTTTAACAAGCATTTATTGAATACATGTTCGTAGCACTGTGTAGGCCTGGGGACTCTGGGGAGACAGCTAGGGGACAAAACCATATAGAGAGATCTGTGAAAGAATTACATGCTTTTGGACCACCTCTTTTTCATATGTATGGTGCTGGGGATGGAACTTAGAGCCTTGCAGAAGAGACAGACAACCACTCTTAACACTCAGCTCCGCCCCAGTCCCTGGAGCACCCTTCATCCCATAGTTAGCGGTCTTAATACTTCTGTTGGATTTTCATTTAATCAAGTCATGCTGATTCTTCTTGATGATTTCTTTCCCTTATTTTCTCTAGTCATTAGTCCAGTATCCTGAAGTAGTGCGTTTTAACCTCTATTTATAATTTAAAAAAATGACTTGGAACCATTCTAGAAACAAGTATTAGGCCAGTCATAAGAAATAATGGCTGCATTTGAGTATTTGATTAGAATTCCAGCCAGTTGATTAGGATATTTGCATTAAGATTCTAGGAATTCATCAGTACTTTTTAAGTGAACTATGTTTTTGTTCTAACAGCATTACATCAGATTCTGACCGTTTTTAATTTTAGAGGGCCGCTTTTATGCTGGATATTTTAGGTACTGAAAATACAAGAGAGTAAGACTGTCTCTCCCCTGTGGAGCTAATGTTTTATTAAAGAAGACAAAATTAATTCATTTAGTCTGATTGATGTAACCCAACATGCAAAGCTCTTAGGTAACATGTTTTTGAACACTAAAAGTCAATTCCTATTTTATTGCAAACTTTTTCATCATTATCACTCCTAATCTCTTACTGTGTTTGTCCTACACAATTGTCATCATAATTCTCACACAAACACCAACATTTCCATTATGTCATGGTGTCTAAATACCTGAAGTTTTAGACCATTCATGAAGTTCCCTGGTATCCTTCTTTGTCCTTTTATCCCTTTCCCAATCTTACTGTATTCTTTGTAAGCCTACTGTAGCCTTTGGAAAGTTACACTGACTGCACATGCCCTTGTCCACCTTGCTTAACTCAGTACTTCCTGGCACTTAGGAGATTGTCCCAGTGGAGCCATCAAAGTTGACTTACACAAAATGATCTCTAGCCAATGGCCCTTTTCAAGGAGCATTTGGAATCACTTAAATGACAGTTTGACAACAAATTTGGACTGAACCTTACTGTCTAGATGCTGTGGGTAACAAGATCTGTTAAGTGGAAACTGAATAAGGTACTGGGCATGGTGGTACATGTCTGTAATTCCAGCATTTGGGAGGCTGAGGCAGGAGGATTCAAGGAGAGTTCAGGCCAGTCAGGGCTACATAACCGGACCCTGAGTTAAAAACAAAATGAAAACCCCAGAAGGGTCAGCATTGGTCATCAGAGTTCAAGGTCCAGAATTTTTAAGGCCAAATCTAGTGACTCAAACAGAACTTTGGATTTCTCTGCACTTGACTAGTATAAAGCAGTTCCTGCCTCACAGTTGTCAAAGTCTCACTTCATAGAAGCTCATATACCACTTAGCAAGAGAACAGCTCAATTGGCCAGTCCCTGGCCTACTCCCAAAAATTGTGTAGGTGGGTACATTCGTGCTGTTTTTTTTCTGAAAGCAAAAGCACTAATGTTATTGTGGTCAGTGTTCATATCGGTATGGTAATCATACTGTTGGTAAAAGTGTTCACAATAGTGTTCTTCCTTGAATCATGGTGATAAACTCAGCCTGTTAGATGTGCCTCCTATGGCATCTATGTCCTAGCTGTCTGTTCCTGGAAAACGTAAAGTACAGATAAAAAGCTTTTTGGTATTTTGACCTTGAATTTCATATCTAGTCAATTTCCCTCCATTATTCATAAAAACAGCTTCCATAGGAACTCATCGAGTTCCTATTGTGAGCTAGACACTTGAAGCTGGTGCTTTATATTGTCTTGAATACAATAACCTTGAGTTAGGTAGTAGTATCCCTATTTTTACAGCATGGAAACTGAGGCTGAGAAAGGTTAAATGATGATTGTACAGCAAGTTTGTGACAAAGCAAATACTAGAACTAAGAATTTGCCTTCCTCTTCCCCAGTTTATCTTTCTCCAGAAGTACAGCTTTTTGGAGGAAGAAACAACACATTCTTAGGTTTGACTTGGGAGAAACTTGTTTGCTTGGCAGTACTGGGCCTTGCACTTGCTAGGCAGGCACTCTACTGCTTACTTGAGTCATGCCCCAGCCCTCTTTATGCTTTGTTTTT